AGGGGAGTGGTGGGAATGTTCCCTGCGGCCCTGCCTTCCCCCCCTTTCTATGGCATCATGCACGTGGCCTGAGCTCCATCGCCAGTGACTTTCCTGAAGACCTGGGTCATGTCCCCTGATCCGGAGCCCCGACCCCCAGCACGGCAGAGGCCGCTCCTGGCTTGGGTCTGGGGGGGGCGGGGCGATGCGGGGCGGGAAGTCTGTGCACAACTTGGGTGCTGCCCTTCGAGCCCAGGCTCTGCCGTGGGAAGGGGAAAGGGCAGATAAAAGTTCGCTGGGGGGCGGACTCCCCACTTGCTTTGGGAGAAGGCGCGGGCTCTGTGCCCACGAGGCAGGGTGCTGGGATCCCTTTGCTCTGTCTCAAGGACATGGCCCCTAACTGAGTTCCCAGTCCCAGCGGAGAGCACAAAGGCTTCTCCCCGGTAGAGCGCTCACACGCTTTACATCCTCAGCTGGGCAGCAGCCCGCACAGTCCCAGCGTAGCGCCAGGGTCTCCTGGAGGCGGGTGGGTGCCGGCTTAGCGGCAACGCTGCGCCTGCCCTTGTGCCATGCAGCGCGCGTGCGGCAAACGCGCCTCTACAGGACAATGAATCCGCCGGGGCTCCCCTGTGACGCTGCCCGGCCCCAGCCTATCCCAGGGAACGGAGAGGCTCTTTAAAAAACAAGTGCCGGTGCTGGGCTGGCTGTCAGCTGTGGTAGATCTCTCCGCATATGTAAACATGCATCCTAAAGAGAGAGGAGACCCATGTGGCTGTAGTTGCCTGGATGGAGCTAATCCAAAGAGGCCCCTGGGGATCCCCTCTGGCAGGAGAAGTCGAGGGAATCTGTAATTGCAACAGTCCCTAAAGTAATTGCCTCTCAAAACAAAGAAAGGTTTCCAACAAAATCAACCACTGTTGTTCATTCAAATAGAAATGCTACCAGTGCTGGGATAGATGCATACTCATTGTGCAAAATCATGCCGCCTGTCTACACTGGCCGGGAGTAGTTGCGCAAGAACACTGACTTTGTAATGTACAAAATCAGTGGTTCTTGCTCAAATACTCTGACGCTCAAGTATTCTTGCGCAAGAGGGCCAGTGTAGACAGCAACGTTAATTTCTTGTGCAAGAAAGCTTGATGGCTAAAATGGCCATCGGAGCTTTCTTGCACAAGACAGCATCGATACTGGCACGGATGCTTTTGCACAAAAGCAAATCTTTTGCACAAAGGCACATGCCAGTATAGATGCTCTCTTGCGCAAATACTTTTAACGGAAAAGTTTTTCCGTTATAAGTATTTGCGCAAAATCATGCCAGTCTAGATGCAGCCGTTAAGGAATACAGGTAGAAATGTAGCCGTGTTACTCTGGTGTAGCTGAAACAAAAAACAGGACTGTGTAGCACTTTAAAGACTAGCAAGATGGTTTAATAGGTGATGAGCTGTCGTGGGCCAGACCCATTTCCTCAGATCAAATAGTGGAAGAAAATTGTCACAGTTATTACAAATCAAGGTGATGGGTGTTTCTCAGTAGTAGAGCTTCCTCTGCAAACTCTTCTAGGAGCAGTCTGTTGCAATGATAGTAATTTAAAACTAAGGCTTTCTACATTACTAGGTTGTTTTGGTTATGACACCAACCTTGGGAGCAGAGGCTCCCAAGCACCGTAGGCATACCACTTTCATGAGAGGAGCAGTCACTCCCAGTGCTGGGATCTTCTTTACAATAGTGCTTTACAGTGCTGTAATTTGCTGCACTGAGCTGGGTGGTATATCCCCGAAGGAGAAAGTTACAGTGCTGTAAAGTGGAAGTGTAGACAAGCCCTAAGTGAACAAATGCCACACCAAAACCAGAATCAGGGATGAAAATATATATGAAGTACGATACAAGCCCAGAGAGGAGGTGTGCATTCGGTGTGATGGATGAGTTTGAAACAGAGAGGCACTGGTATGCAGACTACAGTGAGTGCAAAAAAACAAGAAAACAAATCCCCTCAAATTATCAGCATGGAGAAGAGGTTCTATTGAAATATGAAGAAAAACTGTACATAATCTGGCAGTGGGGGAACAAGACCGAGTCTCACACTACACAATGGACAAATAAACAGCTTCCCCAGAGCTGACTTACTACCCAGAGCTGACACCACATGCCAGACACCACACTTTGCAAGTTTAGTGTATTTTTTGTGTGATTCGAGTACTACATTTTGCTTTGTGTTGGCTCTAAAGCAGGAGTTGTGAACGTTTCTTGAGTTAGGGGGCCACTGACCCACTGAAAACCTGTAGGGGACCACACACAAGTGAGAAACAAAATAAAATAACCCCCCCCCCCATCACACACACTGAGTGGCCACTGATTGAGGAGAAAGTCAGTCCTGACAGTCCCCTTGCACAGCAGAGTTTGTGGGCTCCAGTCCTGCGTGGTGCGGCGGGGGGGCAGCGCCAGCTCCCCAGTGCTGGGGGGAGGCCTGAGCCCCAGGCACATCCGGCCCCGCGGTTCCCGGCCCAGCTCTGGTATCTGTTCTGGAGGAGTCATTCTACACTGAGTGGCCACTGATTGAGGAGAAAGTCAGTCCTGACAGTCCCCTTGCACAGCAGAGTTTGTGGGCTCCAGTCCTGCGTGGTGCGGCGGGGGGGCAGCGCCAGCTCCCCAGTGCTGGGGGGAGGCCTGAGCCCCAGGCACATCCGGCCCCGCGGTTCCCGGCCCAGCTCTGGTATCTGTTCTGGAGGAGTCATTCTGTAGGGCCCTTCCCCCGGTGGCAGGGTGCGTACGGCCTGTTTGAAACCCCCCACGCGGTCCGCAGAGACCCC